TACCAACAGCGGCATCAGCAAGCGAGGGAGACAAAGTATTGGTATCAACCAATCTACGAGAGGAGTTGACGCTGACTCCCACAGCGGAAGGCGAAGCAGCATTAATGCCAGAATTAGCGATAACCGAAGACTCAGATTTGCTACCTGCCTTTTTGTTATGCACACAGTTACAAGCATTTTCACGCATGGCTTTAATTTCAGCAGTGAGAGTAGTGACAGCAGAAACCATGTCATGTTGGCGAAGATTAGACTGCAACAGGTGAAGATCAGCTTGCATTGACATTGTTTTAGTTATGAGTTGTTTATTGTCTTCACGTAACTCACTAACCATAGCAACAATACGGCTATTTTCTGCTCTAAGAGCTGCAATTTCACCCAACACTGATTGCAACATTAGCTGCTCATTTATATTAGCACTATGCATATGCACACCTTCATTTGTGGTTAGTTGGGATGGAGAGCCAAAGGTTGACATTATTGTTTACTGTGACAAGCAAGCTACTCAAACAGCTACTTTGATCGTCGATTGTCGATCGTCATTCCGTGTAGTTAAACTACTAGGGCAGACAGCAACAACACGATTCTCACTATTCTCCAGAGCAACAGAGGGCGGCGGTGAACGAAGAGAGTTTCGCCGATCAGTAGAGCAGTTATTGCATAAATACGATTCATTCGACGAGAGCAAAAACTCCACATCGGCCGGCATAATGTTTACACATTTTAGGTGATAAAGTTCATTGCACTTTGCGCATTGTACTTTTTGTACTTTTGGCTGCGATCTTTCCACTTTAAGGCCACAAAGGCACGGCATTTTGATGCAATTATTAAAATAAATCAAAACTTCCAAATAGATCACTATCTCAATAGTTATAAATTTAGTTCATCACTGCACAAGTAATTTAAAAGTCTAGCCTCAATTATAAATATATGCATGTTATGCACTTATGACAGCAGAAAAACTATAATAAATTAGAGCGCAAATCGAAACACATCCGCACGCGACGACAGTTATTATTATATTATTAGTTTGGGTTTTAGTGGGTAGCCCAACACGCTTCGGTGGGAGTCCCACACTCCGGGAAGGTAGTATAGAGACTAGCGCCCCCGGCCAGTGCATAAAGCATTTCCCTCTCCTACATAAAAAAAAATAAAAAATAAAAAATAATAATAATAATAAGGTAAGGGCTAAGCTCAGGGCCTTACCGGGGTCACACAGGGCAGATCGTGAACGGCCTACTCCGGTAGGTTAGCTGCGAATAACCAATAAGCAGTCCCAGACCAAGAGCGGCAGCAGCCGAGGGCCTGATTTAAAAGGTCAGAAATGCTTGATGAATCTCCTGTGTCCGGGCGAACAGATGCCGCCTCCCAAACAGCATCCCAGGATTGAGACCAGTTAGATCCTGTTCATGGCATACTGGAACATGTATACGATTAACTCGACATTGGGCTGGCGAGAGCAGTATTCCACCACTTTAGTATGTGAGGGTGACACCTCACAGAAATGGCTGGTGGGCTAATGCTGCAATCGCCTCCGTCTCGTTAAAACCC